AGTTCTATAGTATTTAGTTCTAGTATTATTTCTAGTTGTTCTCCAACTATTTTGATGCAAACGAGTTTTCAGACGCATGTCTGATAGTAACAGAAATTTTAAAACTCTTCAAGAAACTAAATTTAAAAATTTAAAATTGCCTAGTCCCCGACGTAAATAGCCTAGATGCTGATCGTCGTTAAATAAAATTAACTAACTAACTGATATAGATGCTGTCGTCTTTTTTTAAGCTTAATACAGAATTATTCCCTCGATCTTTGACCTGAACGGTTTGAATGCTCGAACGGCAGCTCGACCACAATTAGATCTCAGGACGGATCAATGTGATGTCTCCAAGTGTTTTGACTCTTTGGAAATTTGCAAGCCTATTTTTGCACCATAATATCACCTCCAATTGAAATGAAGCGATTTGTGCGCCAAATTTAAGCAATACAGGATATGATCCGCCAAGGAGTCTGCTCATGAGCTCCTGCTACTATACCTAATTAAACAGCATTTTGCCCCAAGGAACTACGATTTCTGGCTTATAGATGAAAACACCCATCTGCGTAGGGAAACTAATGGCACATATTTTGTCTCCAAAATGAGCCTGAAATTTCAGTTCCTAATTGCAAAATGTGGTCCAATTGAATTTTTAAAACCCTTCTATTTTGCTCTCTCGTGTTTTTAATCGACTCTTCGACTTTTCATTAATTAGCACCAGGAAATGAGGTTACACTCTTCTCGACAATTTTTGCGAAACAGCACGGTTCTGGCTTCATCGGCTCATGGTGACACTAAGCTAATATACACGTGAAAATTCGCCAATGTAAATTCATTTCTGTGAACTTATTTTCCACAAATTGGCAATATTGGGAGTGAATTGAGGGCCCGAACGTAGTCACTTTCTCGTGCTATCGATAAGGGAGAAGGAATCACAAACCGTTAGAACTTTAGGAAATGTTACTTGATACGTTTAAATTAAATATGAAAATTGGTTGTGTTTTTAAAAATTTATACAAATAAATTCTAAATAAACTATTTAATTTGTAATGCACTGTCTTTTCTTTTTCATCAATGTTCAGTTTACATTCTCTCGTGGTGTCATATTGTCCAATTCGTCGTGTATCATAGGAACCAGTGGCATGGCGTGCTTTGCGATACATCGATTGATCTGCCATTTAAACCTATGGAAAATGATCTATACACAGGAATGTTCGCAGCGAAGACCTTGATAATCGATTATTTACCATATCTTCAAATTGGAAAATATCGGTAGTCGATCATTCAGGCCTCGCCACTGATAGGAACAGTCCAAAAGAGTGTGTGCCATGGCTTCGTGGCTAGGTATTGGAAGTTCACTCATCAAATTTTACGATTTATTTGTATTTTCTGTAGAGGTTCTCACAAAATTTCAGCAAATTTATTTCAATAAGCCCCTTTATTCGGCTCATTCTAATTTAAACCACGAGTCAAAACCTTCATCAGAATTTTGGAATAGCCAATTATAGCACATTACCATTATAGCACTGCCGTGCTAAGGAAGAATGCCGTATGAGCATTTGAGAGTTGCCGAATTTCCTTCGATGAAATGTTCATTTTGTGGGAAAGTTATGAACATTTTGCTATGAAAGTTACAGGAGCTTTAGGTAAAATTGCGAAAAATTTTATCTGAAAAATTAGAGAAAATATATTCGTGAGTTTATACCAGGAAATTTGTGTTTTATCGAAGGAAATTTGGCAACGCCTGAAGGTTCATACGGCGTTCCTTAGTACGACATCATAGACAAGACCTGAATTGTAGATTGCTCCTTGAGGAGGATGGAAGAACGAATGAGCTCAGATTTACGTCAAGTAAGCATTCATCGTGACAAATGTTAAGAAAGGAACAACGCCTTCATTTTTTTGATATGCAACACCGACATCCGTCGAGCATTAATAGTTGTATCAAAGAGTTATGCCGAACGTTTCATCACATCCGTCGTCCTGTAGATTGACGCGCTGAGTACTCGATGGATAAACTCGGGAATCATGTATTTCGAATTTGTGACGTCACAGATTTCTTCTCAGACTTTACTTTCACGTAGAAAAGTAATCAACGTATTTGCTGACAATATCCATGACGTTCTTCTCTGTTTGACAAATATTTTGTAAAAATTTCAGACCATGAAGTTGGCTTGTTTTTCTAAAATCAATTCACCCCACTCGAGATATTGGCTAAAGGAGCAAAAAAAAGGCGTGCCTAAGTTTTAAAATCTCCGATAATGGTCTATTTTTTGGGAATAAGCTATCTTAAATATATCTCCAACTTTTTGCCAATTTATTTGAATGACTGAAAAACATTCAAAGAACATTTCAAGAAAAAACGTTGTGTGGCACTATCGACTTTCAAAAAAGCAGAAAATTAAAGAAATATAGGTACTTTAAAAAAAAGTAAAAGAGCGAAAAAAGTAAAAAGTAAAAAATAAAAGGGCACTGTCAGGAGCACTGGTTTCTCGGCTCAGAGTGGCCGGCGCACAGTGGATCGAGTCAATCAAAGAGGTCGGATATAAAATGTTTGACGAAAACTGCAAATTTTGATGTTTATTTCACAACATTCTAGGGGTGCTACCGGATGAAAATTCTTCGAGGAAACCAATGGAACCACCCTCAGAGCCCCGAAGTTTTGTATGGTCGGAGTTATAAGCGTTTAAAGTTTCCAAATTTTGTCCGACCTCTCCTGTTGACTCGATCCAGCGTGCGGTGAGTCTCGAGACCGGGCTCAATCTAATCCACGCATTAAACTACGGAGGATTTGACACTAATCTAGAAATTTTTCTCCCCGTTTGGACGGAAACATCGAGAAAAATCCCGTTTGATAGAAAAAAATCGAGAGAAGGTTCACGGACTAACTGTCAAAATCGAATGTTTTATCTTAAAAGAATACTATCCCCTCTACCCGCAAACAATTCCAATGGAAATTGTTTTTCCGACACACCTTAATGAGCACATGTCTCAAATATAAATCTCAAAATACATTCGGTTCTTTGGTTCTTTCGTTGGGTTTGTTCCGCAATCGTAAGAAAGAATTCGAAACCTGGTTCTGCTATGTAACTGAGATTTGGCGTCTTGCAAGAACCTGGCTATCTCAGGCTTAACCCAAAAACCACGTATCTTATCCTCGATGAAGCAGTGTTTTAAAATGCTTGCTCGTATCGTCTTTTCTAGCGAGGGAATGACGAGCCGGTTTTTATCCTTGAAATTTCCATTTCATATTTTTCAAACCGAGAGTAATGAGCCACGGCTATCCTCGAAAAATCACGTAGATTAAAATTAGGGCTGCAATGAGGGAATAAATTAATAAAGGTCTGCAACGTTACGAACCGAGATACGTGGTTCCATTGTTAAACGAGCAAATAACCGCGTTGGCGCCGGGCCGTTGATCACAGCCCCTTCATGCAACTATTACTTCTCTACGGATGGGCGAGTTGCAAGTCTACTAATTGAAGGCGTTTTGCCTTCCTCGGCGTTTGCCGCTACTACTGCCGTGCTAAAGGAGAACGCCGTATAAACCTTCAGACGTTGCCACATTTCCTTGAAAAAAACCTTCATTTACTGGGGAAATCGTTAATTTATTGCTTCAATTTCTTCAGACAATTTAGTTCGCAATTTCGTCTGAAATGTCAAGGAAAAATACGCATAATCGTTCTCAAAAATACACGTTTTATGCGGGATAATTCGGCAACTCTCGAATGTTCATACGATGTTTTTCCTTAGCGCGGCAGACTACAGGGATCCGATATCAGTGCAGAGGGCAATGAAAGTGGCCAAGATAGCTTGTAGGTAACTGCTACATTTAGCTATCTTCTTTCATTGCGAGCTATGCAATCCAGTGGGCAATTATTAAAATTGATAGACAAGGCTACTGACAAAGAAGACAAAGAGTATATGAAGCAATCCTATTGATGGAAGCAGGTGGTTGCAATAGGAAAAAAGGTAATAATAGACCAGCTAACAACAATCCAACAGGGACTCCACAGATAGTCCATCGTTTTCCCTCTTGATCTACAGCAACCACCCGTCTCAACAAATAGAATCGCTCCATCTCCCTTAGTCCCCTTTGTCCATTGCTGTTTGTATAAAATTCAAAAATCAGCCCACAGGGTGTCTACGGAGTCGGTGGGAAAAAATTCTCTGACTTCCAGCTTTTGATAAAAAATCAAAATTCCTCAACTTTCACATGGTTAATTTACATGGATGAAAATGAAAATGTGTTTGGCATCTACTGCAATTCTTAGGAAGATTTGGCCATTTTTTTTCTTTTTTAATCATCAATTAAAAATTGAAATTATTGATGTTGAACATTTTTTAAATGAAACTTCATTTTAAAATAATTTACTGTTTAACAACTGTCAAACATTTAAAGATATCGCATTTAAACATCTAAAAGCTTCTTCTCAAAATAGAGTTTTTTGCGGAATGCCCTCATCCAAAAAGAATTTCCATTATTTTCCTTAAGAAATTTGTAGTTGCTGTTGCAGCCCCCCCCCCCTCATTCATATCTTGACTTAATTTTGGAAGGAAACAGCTTGGGTGGATTGAAAATTTTCCAATATTACTAATGATCAAGATATCAAATAAATTGGCTTGAGAGAAAACCACTAATGTCCATTTTTTCTTTTTTAGGGGAAACTGCAAAAGCCCTTTCATAGCAGAATTAAATAATACTCAAAAGTCAATGAACTAGTGACAAGGTACAAATTTATGCATTCTAATACATGTTTCTTAGCCAGAATTTCACATTGAGTACAAATTTGTGCAATGAAAATTGCTGAAATAAATTCCTAACTATGACTTTAACCTTTGAAGTTAAAAAAAAGTGGACAGCGGCTGTTCTCACACCAGTCGTTGAAATTAATGAGTTACAAAATCCAATAAAATAGTTTGGCTCTCAAATTGTGCCTTTTGCAAAAAGGTTCATGAAAACAGATAGATAGAATTTATTGATGCACACAGCCTATAGTAAAAAGCTCTGGCACAAGTCAAATTCACAATTTATACAACAATTTAAGCAAATTGAAATTATACAAGTTCCTTTAAAATTCTTTTTGGTTATAATAAGCTTTATTTTTTAGTTTTACGTTCACATTAACAGGACAATAGTTGTTTTCGATCACGCGAAGATTTGATTGAGGTAGGCTCTGAAGAATTTCAAACACCGATTTATTCAAAACAATTTATTCAAAAGTAACAAATAGGTATCTAATTAAAGACAGAAACACAACAGAGAGCCTGCATGATGAAATTGACTCAAAAAGGAGCTAAAATGTCTGAATGAACATCAGCTGCTAAAAATAACAAAAAAAATAAGAAAAACGAAGAAGTCCTCTACGCAAAAGCAGATGACTGGAAGGGTAATACAGCAAGAAATATTTTGAATGCTGATACATGATTTTCATGGCCATGGCTAGAAAATAGGTATTCATCAAATGATTTAACGTGGAAAATAGTATACAACAAATTCCAATTTTAAAAACTGTAACTGCAAAATCATGCTAGATGCTACGCCCTTTAAGGAGATTTTTTAGTCAATAAAAGAAACATACTATTACAGGCTTTTATGCATACAATCTTTCTGAGCCAATGAGTGATTTGCTTATTCTAAATAATTAGTTTTATTGACTAATCTTCACTCACTCATAACTTTACAGTATTTGCTCTATTTCTGGATAAATCTAATCATCTAACGTTTTATATTTATTTGGTCATTTTATCTGTTGAAGAATTCCTCGACAAATGAATTAATTGTTTTACACTTATTTTAAACATTATGAATAATCTGTGCCTTATGCGGGAGCTGGGATCCGTTTCTTCATTTCTGTCTTTAACGGCCCTCTGTTTACATTTTGCAGAAAGTTCTTTCTCCCTCTAAAGGAATTGTCAGTCTCGAGTTGAATTTTTACGAATGATGGCAAAGTCATCATCTATTTCGTTTCTGAACAAAAATATGGGATCAGAAAAAAATCCTGATTCTTCACCCTGCTAGAAAATGAGTAGATAATGATAATGGAGGTAAGTAGATAGGACTGCTGAATTAATTTGTCTCATTTCTTCATGTGTTAATACCTTTTCTTTAAGAAACGAATGCTCTTGAGAAATTCACTGAAATGTGTGAAATCTGTCGATTTTGAACGACAATATTTAGTTTTATAATATTTATTTATATGAGTTAATGTGCCAAATACTAAATGGCCTGATAAATAGGGCTATGCCTGAGTCGTTTTTAGAAGGAGAAGAAGAATGATATTTAAGCTGCAGAGTTGAGCTTCAATAAATTTCAATTTGTAGGAGTAAATTCTTCAAATTGTAGCATTTATTACTGTTCCAAAAGGGGAGGAAGGCCCTTATGGACTTTTCTAAAGCCACTTTCTGAATCCACCACAGTTCATGATCAAATAAACTATCTGATAATTCACATAGACAGCCATAGAGAGAGAATTTTCTTACATTATTCTGAAGAAAAGTGGGATGTTTTAAAAATTATATTCCTCACTATTGTGTCCTTAACTAAATGCACATTTTGTAACTTATGGCTCTGTCTTAATTAAGAGGATGGAAAATAGCAACTTTAAGCTTCATACACCAATGGGACAATGGGTCAATGGTTTGGAAACAATTTGGGGAAAATAACAAAAAAATAGTTAAAGAGGGGGCACATATAGAGAGATTATATAGAGATATGTAGAGATATTCGGTTGGGCTTAGCATCTAAACTGACACAGGAGTGAAGCTGAGGGTATCAAGCAAAATTGAGGGCGCTTTGCAGAGTTCTGGCAAATGAGTATTCCACTCCTGCAAGGTGCCTGTTCCAAAATACTTAAACAATTTTAGTTGTTAATTGTGTTCTGTGTCGGATGAGACTAATAATTTCCATGTCCATAATTTTTTGGTCAGGGAAAGCCACTGGCCGTATGTTTTTTCCAATCCAATCATCATTGGATACCAATGTTTCATACATGTCGTTTTATAAGTGCACCATTCTCCAACAAAATGACAGCAAAAGACATTCCTTCAGCCTGGGAAAAATAGAAATAAGTGGGGATAATTAATACAAAGAAAGGAATTATTATTTTTTTTTCCTTACAAGAAAAATCTAACTGGCAGAGTAATAATTCCATAAATTCTAAATTGACTTTTAGGCATTATAGTTATTCTTATTTTTCCTATTAACTATGAAATTACAACTATGCAAAAACTAATAAATTTAATTAATTTTAGTTGACAATCAAAATTGTCTTATGGTAAGAGCACATTCTACACAGAGACAGCAGACAGGACCTCTCCACAACTCTACTAATTCCACTGTCTTCGACATCCGAGTTAATTCAAAAAGTCTGTAAACTCACAGGTTCATATGATTTTTCCACAAGTTTTCTGTAGGATTTTCTCTTTTACTACAAGGGTTTAATTTTCAATTTAAATCTGAGAGAATACCTATTATTTAAAATTTAAACACAGTAATAACTTGATTATCTGCTGGATTATAACAGAGGGCCGAGCTGACTGTGAGTACCGAAAACACTGCCTGATCAAAAACGTCCGTTATTTTTCTCTGAAACAAACTTCCAAGTTCAACAGAGACTCTTAGAGGTAAGATTGTAATAGTGGGGATCCCTCTTTCTGTGCGGAGGCTGACTTTTATACTTAAATATTTGTATATTTGAGTGCTGATTTATTAGTGTAGCACTTGAATATTGATAAATTAATTTTATTTATCTCTCTACTTATAAAATGTATTTTTTTTTTAAATTCATCCAGTATATTTCTCCATGCACAGATAGGGACTAAATACATTGGCAGGGTTGCCACTTTCTTTGGGGACTCTAGAGCTGGAACCACAGCAACCCTGCCCATATACTTGCTCCCTATCTGTGCATTTAGAGGTTGACAAGATATAGAAAAGGATTCTCACTGTACAGCAAGCGATCCCCTCCATACGGCCTCAACTTAAAGAGCTTTTTTGCACTTGGGAATTGATTTCAGAGAACACTTGTGGCACCATTGTGTTTTCCGAAAAAAATGTTTAAAAGAAAATACTTAAACTGTAAGTCCCTGACACATAGAGGAGCCCCACTGTTTTGAAAATAGTCAAAGTTGGGTTTAACACCCTCCCTTTTCTGATGCATGATAAGAACTTCTCAAACTCTTGAAACTACTCAAGCATTCTGAGATAATCATTCAATCGCAAGACACACTGAAATTACGTCCGTGCCCATATTTGAACTTAAAATTTTTTGGTTTTTTCGTCAGATGGAAAATCTAAATTGTCAAGTACAGATAACACTTAATACTCATTTGTGAGTTGAAAGTGGGAACTTTTGATTTGTCTGCTGTATTCAAAGGTGAAATTTTGATGATGAAACATGTCATACAGTGCTAAATTTCCTGCCATGATCAAGAGTCAATTCTAACAAACGAAATTCACTCTAGACGGATTAAAGTTAGTATATTAGAAAGTTAAAGCTATCAAATCTTAATTCACCTGACTCAAGGTAAAAAACTGAGCTCCAGCAGCAAACCAAACACATGAATGGGTCAGTGAAAAGAGTCGGGAAATGTTAAATTTATGTATTTTTTCTTTAAAAATTAAAACAATCTGGTGACAGGGTGTCTACTATAACAGGCTGGCCAAAAGTCAGTATTTTTACGGCACTTTTTCAGTACATTCCCAAGAAATTCAGTACCTCCTGAACAGAAAAATTCGGAACTTTGTCAGTACCCCAAATTGACAAAATTCGATTAATTTAAAAAATTTGAATTTATTGCTCAAAATGCAACAAAAATTACAAAAAATGGAAAAATTCCTGACCATCTTACAGAATTTCTGCACTTATTCAGTACTTCCGGACCGCTCTTAAAAAATCAGTACTATTTACGGACTTTCCGGACTCGTAGACACCCTGAGTGAGTTGAGAACTAAAATGTCCTTAGTTTTCAAATCAAAGGGGTGTCAAGAGTTATGTAACAATATGTGGACATGTTGCAAAACATAGGTTTATACGGGAAATGCCGCACAGTGATTTCACACGGCGGTCCATTTTCTCCACTTTAAAGCAACTTTTCTCCATGATCCTAAATTGAAAAAAAATTGTGACAAATAATCTGGACTCGGCTCATTTAATATTTTATGAGGCGATAAAATTTCCTTGTCCTACCGATCCAATTAATGGAAAAACTACTCTCTTCTTTCGTGAAGAGAATCAAAGAATCAATAAAAAGAGAATGCGAAAAAAAAAAAAAAAAAAAAAAAAAAAAAAAAAAAACTCACACGTTGCAGTTGGAGTAAACAAAGCTTTACTGCACATTCTCTTGTTCATGATAACCGCAGCTTCGGATGATATAATATTTTCTCCCCTGTGTTGGTCATTTGTAAGTAAACTGTAACGATATCCTATAAAAAAAAATCAGTATATTTAATTAATTATGTATTTTTGAATTTTACATCACTGCATCTGTTACTTGTAACATGAAAATCAAACCTACATTTTTTCCATTTCTGGATATTACAAGAAAATTGCCATGTGGAGCAGTTGATTCCCTTGTGATTCATTAGCACGGTTTAGAAGTTTTATAACTTGCACCTGGTGTTACATAACACCCCCAGATTTTTTACAAGTATAAAGATTCGCAAATGCTTACTGCTGATGAAACTTTAAAGTTCCCTATTTTCCGTATTTTACTTTCATACAAAATGATGTAATGACTTAAATCTCAGCAATAATAATAGTAATAATTTGTGCTGAAAGAAAAACATAATTGAAAAACCATCTCCAACCTTTGGTGTAGATATTATAGTTTGTATTTTGTACAGAGGCAAGTTGAATGCAAAAAGTGCTTACCATCAGCTGGGCGGTTAAAAACTTAAATGGAAAATGCTCTCACTTTCAGCTGGGTGGTTTGAAGTGTAAAACAAGCTTTTGTCGAGAATAGGTCACTAAACAAGGAGTGAATTGAAGCACTGCACAGCATAAATCCTCTTCAAATTTTCACGAGGAAGATGAATCACACAACGGAAATTCTGGAAATCAACTCCTAAACAAGATTTAAATGCTTACAATTAACATTGGTTAAATGGCAAAAATACAAATGATGTAATTGTATACTCTGAATTTCATTTGATCCGTGTTAAAAAACATCTTAACCATGAGTTGATTTCTGAACTTCAAATTGTTTGAATCACTTTCCGCATAAAATTTTGAAGAGGAAGCAGTGATCTAATGGCCTATTATAAGATTAATTCGAGGAAAATTGCTGCAAAGAGACAGTTCCTTTAAACGAGCTGGTGGCAGTGACCAAGAGATTAAAAAGTAAAGAGTTGAAGCTCAGTCTCATAATAACAGTATCGCAACAACTCATTTTTGCTGCCTACTTTTTCTGGTTGAAATTGAGGTTCGAAAGAATTCGAAATGTCTCAATTTTATTTTGTACTTGCTCTATTACATGTATTTTGTAGAGCCTTTCCCTCGATTAAGTTATTATTTACCCGTGCGTTTGGCTGATTAAATTGCTTTTCATTTGTAAACAAGTACTTTTCAAAAACTTCAGGAAAAAACAGGGCGTTTAAATTCACTAAGAAAGAAACCCTTACGGGTTTTTTTTTAAAATGTAAAATTTAGGTGCATCTGGTAAGCTACAGGTGAAAAACTCCTTTTTTTGTGAATATTTTCACTCATTTTTTTAATACCTAAGTATTTTGTGTTGAAAAATTGCAGATCTTTTGAGGGGGTTTTTACCCAGTATTCCCTGCCTGTGGCAGCAACCCTGCTTCTATTTTAGAAAACAAATTTTAACTTAAAAAATACCGAAAACTGTTTCCTTTTTCCTAGATTTTGACAAGTTTTTCAACAGTTATCTAGCTTAAGAATTCACTAATTGTTTTCATCATTTTCTTGTCTTTCAAATTATGGACCACAAGACAGGGTGCTTCCTTATCAAAACTGGATTACATTTTGCATGTAGGAACTACAACTTCGGGCTTATCTGTAAAAACACTTGTGTAGCTAATGGTACAAACGTTGCCTCAAAACTAAGACAGAAATTGTAATTCCAAATTGCACATTGTACTACAATTGCGTGTAGAATACAATGTACCTACGTACTGAGACTTTCTATCCAACTGATAGACCAGAGGCTTTTCGTTTATGGCTTGTCGCTTAGTGTTTTTCGTTTCGTTTTGTGTTCTTTTTGTTTAGTGTGTTCACACTTTTCACTCAGAAAACCAAAGTCTACTCTGATCAAATCAAGCACCAAACTTCTTTTGGTATGTTCCACAATGGAAACACTTTCTTGCATGGCAAATTCTCTTTTGAAAAGATTAGAGGTGCCATGTATTGAATGAGTGTATACAAAGCCTTAGTTATGTGCCTGACATATCGATGGTGAAACTGCAAAAATGGATATCTTGGTTTTGAAGCGTTGCAGACTTCCTGTCATACTTTGTTTTCTTCTTGGAAAACTCTTGAACATCAATTCCTGAAAATTTCAGTGCTTTTTCTTCTCTTTATGTTAATTACTCTGTGATAATTTCAAGCAATTATGTTGGTTTTATCTCCTTTTTAAAAGTATAATAGGAACAAAGACTTTGAAACACTGCAACCAAGATATGCATTTTTGCAGTTTCACTGTCGATATAAATTCTTTTCAATGGTTGATTTGACCTACTTTGATTAGAGCAGGAAGTTCAAATTTAGGATTTAACATTTGGACTACAAATGTTGATATCTCACTTATGAGTTGATCATTCTAGGTACATGAAATTTTGATGAAGAAAATGTATTCAGAAGTCTGATTCTTACCATTGTCTTGTGGTTAATATAAGCAACTATCTGTGCAAATGACTGTTTCAAAACACTTGCAAATTTCTATTAAGTCACTTGAGAACTTTTGAGACATTTACTTACTGAGGGTTTATTTTAGCTTGAGTACATCCTGATTTACTTCTTGTATATCCTTTCGGTTATCAGCATCTTCAGAATTCAAACATCTTCCTTAGAATTTATCTTAAAATTTACTTTATTCTTTCACCGTTGGTTGTAAAATCCATCCTTGTTGCAGAGTCAACTGGTAACTGACAGCTATAGCCATCGCTCTTGGCCTGATGCCATATTTGTCAAGATATCGTCATTCCCCCTCTGCCTCCTTTCATCTTGGCCTGCCAAAAAATGAAAAGGATATAAGTGAAGAGACATTTGTTACATTCTTATGACAGAACCTAGCCTTATCCATACCTTGATAAATTTTCATTGTATTTTGAAAAGAATGAACTAGCGTACAAAAACTTAAGAATGATTTTACAATATTGCGAAAACTCTGAGTACTTACTGCTTCATTGACTGCTAAGTTGATGAGGAAACTTTGAGAGAGATTTTTCTAAAAATACAATTTTTGGAGTGGTTTGATACTTGCTAATCCATCGGAAAGTCAATATTAAAAATTTTTCATCACCATGTTTCACTTGGGCAAAACGCATAAATAGAAAACTCAACATTTTCTAGAATTCATCCGCACTGAGTTCAGCTCTATTAAAGCCCTAATACATCAAATACTTCAATTTTTCAGGCCACTTCCGTCATAGAACTTATGATCCCAAGCCTAGTTGGAGAAAATTTTATTTGACAGCAACAGATGTTGCCATTCATGATGCATGCAAAAAAGTCCTTTGCAAACTCTGCCGTTCAATGCAAAAACGCTGTAAACGCCATTTTATATTTTTTGAAAAGAATGTATCATAGCAGAAAAACTTGTGTATCTTGGGACAATGGTTTAACAGAATTCTTTCGCGAATACTATTAGGAACTTAACCTGAAAATTTGAAGTGCACGGGTGAGACAGTTTTCATTTTCTAAAGTGTTAAGTTCCGATAAATGAGGGAAAATCTTGATGGATTTAAGGCGTTCTTGCCTGGCACGGCAGAACTTCGGTCTAATTTATTAGTCTTGACTATAAACTGCAGTTGAAGGTTGTAGTTCATGCTCATCATCACAGCCATACACTTTATTACTGAGATATATTACCTGTGATAGGAGAAGTATCTTGCTACAGGAAATGATGACAGCAAAACTTTCCTTGAGGACTTCCATTAGGTAGGCTTAAGTAATTCCGCTGCAGAGAGTCACTGGGCCCGAAGAAGAATTTGTGATTGCTGGCAGCAAATATTTCCAGGATGATCTGAGAAAAAAGAGAAAATTCTGTAGGTAGGTACTTCGCTTCAACTTCTGGAAATATGATGGCTGTTCAGAAGTTTAATTACATATTTAGGAAGCTTGGAAACATAATAACAAGTACCTGTGTAGAAGATATCACCCGAGTGGAATTACGTGTATCTTTAAAGGATAGGTACTGCAAGATGCCATCTTAGAGGTAACAGTGAAGGACTTCTTCATCTGTTGTTTCTAGAAGGAATCATGTCAGGAATGAAACAGTATGAGAGATCATGGTGCCAAACAGACCAGCTTACATGACATGGAGACGAAACAAGAATGGCAGGAGACAGGCTGGCAGAGAAGGTCCTAGATTGGGTTCGCCTCCTAGGAAAAGGTGCTGAGGGCACTCATTTTGAGGGTGGAGGGATGCCCAGTAAGTATGGTTCGATATAAAAAAATGGTTAACACTGCCAAGCTACTCAAATTCCATTTGCCAGAGTCCTTCTTCATTGATGCCCATGATAGGAGCTCATAAAAGTAATCAATTTGGGCAAAATGCCATGAGAATGGACCAGTGAATGATTCACCGTTCAAATTGGTAACATGAAGCTTATTAGCAGACAATAAGCATCATACAGGACCAGCAACCTGATTGTTGAAATTTTTTGTTTGTCAGGACGACAAAGATGACATAGGTTGAAAGGCAGAGCGTGATTGGTCCGCTATGTCTTATCGCTGCTTTGTTGTGGTTATGTCGGGTTGAACTCACAACAAGCTATTGGCACCTCTTAAGTTTCCGACAGTTTGTAGTGCATTCCACCTGACAAAGGCTCGACAAAGCAGCGATAAGACATAGCTGATCAATAACGCTCCGCCTATTGGCCTATGTCATCTATGTCGTCCCGACAAACGAAAGATTTCAACAATCAGGCTGCAGGCAAAATCGAAGATTACCTGCAAGAAATAGCATCTTCAATAATTTCATTACATGTATCCGCTACACTGGGAGAAGGATAGTTGATGTGCCTTGGAAATCAGTACAAGCTACTCTGCTCCAAGTAGTTCTGAAGGGTAATATGAAAGATTTATTTTTAAGGGAGAATCGATGCAAAAGTGTGCATTCTACCGCACTCGTGACGGAAGAACTCATAAGCTCAATCACTCTGGGATTAAATTTTTAATAGTGATGAATCAGGCGCAGGCTCTTGACGCTATCTGATAGTTGGGATAGCTGAAAGATGCCAGAACTTGATAATGTCACTATGAGTAAGGCCAAAAAGAAGGTGCTGTATTCTAACGGTCCCAGAACTGTCAAATACCAGCATCTGACCCCGTCAAAATTCTACTTAGGAAAAGAGTCGGCAAGGTGATTAAACTTTCATAGGTAACAGTGGTTCCACTTGTAAATCCCACCTTGATCACAAAAACACCAAGCATTTCAGTACGGCAAACTTGTCATTTCTCACCTAGTCCATGCCTAATCGCTGAGGTAGGTATGGTCCATGAAAAGCTTAACCAGGCTCAAACTTGGGTAAACATCCGAAAAAAAAACGTTTGGAGCTAAAATCTAAAAGAGGGAGGTTTGCAAGAGATGTACTTAAGTACTACCTTGCTACTTACATATCCAAGAAATAATCCTGAGGGTCAGTTGAACACTCCATCCGGCTTCACCTGAACTTCACCTTGCAAGAGAACATAACAATGATCGCATGACAGTTGTAAAGTTCAATTTACAACGGGATACCTCTGATTCTGAGCCAAGAAAACATAAGAAAACGAGATAAACGAAATTCTCTCATTGATCGAAAGAGAAGGAGAGAACAATCTACTTTTGATTTGAACCTACTTTTGGTGTGAAATGTAAATAAAACACAATAAAACATGGTTGTTTGACCTTGAGGAAGCACCGGAAACGGGGGAAGCGGATATGCGTGGAAAATGAAATTTCCGTTTCCGGTTAACCCCTCCCATCAGCAGGACGGTCATCGTCCCTCATCCAATGGTATTATTTGTTCCTTTGTTATTCACTGAAAGCTTTCGTTGACGTGCGGACGGTTAGGAAGAACGCAAGTAAAACTTTTATCCTTCTCCTCTCTCCAGTTGTTTTATCCGTTGGTAAGGTTCATTAATGTTGTTTTATTAGAATTATTTCTTTTTCATACTTCAGTTTAAGGAAGATTTGGTTTCTCGCCATTAAATACGAGTGAGTTTTTCATGCCATTCCACAACCTGTTGAGACAAAATAGGTAAGCGCCTGGGATCCTTGTTCACAGCCAGTGAGCGAGCCTCACTCTTTTGAAAATGAATTGATATTTTATTTATGTGTCATGACAAAGTAACGTTTATGTCGAACGTATAATAATTATATCCGATTATTCATCCAGTATTACATATGTACTTTTAAATCTGAAATAATGCTGAGTGAAGAATCATACCCGAAGCCATGTCCTTAAATATCTCTGTTCTATGCCTGGTCTCTGGTCCTCTGATAGACTTCCTGGAGGCTTCCCATCGAAAAATTCTCAAGATCATGCCAGAAACATTTGAGTGTAGAGCGACCGTGGGCATTATGTTCAACTTCTAACCAATCTTTCATTACTTATTTGTGAGAATTCAGTACGTACGCAATTATTATAAGTGATAGCACCTAAAAGTTATCGTGATAAGCGGATGAGCCAGAAACAAAATATATCGGTTTCCAGTGTTGCTAACCTTTCCTTGACTCGATTTATTTCTTTGAGTACAAATCAATAATTTCTATTTTTGAGAGTTTATTTTTCTTTGCATATCGATAGCCAAATTGCAAAACCACATACCTACCTCCGTTTGCAACGTTGCCTGCAGCTATTGTCATACTTTACTTTTCTATGGAAAACTAGTCAAAGTAATTTCTTGAAATAACGTCTTAAAAAACTTTCAACGTCGTAAAGTGAGGTATGAATAATTTTTACCTCCCCATCCGTGATGAGAAAATGTGTCACTGCGCACGGGCCAGCCTGCAATTTCAGCGGTTAAATCATGATCTCCTGCCATCAGTGGCGATTCTTGTAAGTTGCCAACACTGTTCTTTCTCCGTTTAAATGTATATTAAACAGTTGATTCTGAGTAAAGACACCTATCTCACTGAGAATCGATATCGACGGTGAAACTACCAAACCACGTATCTCGTTTGCGGTGTTTAAAAATCTACGCTCACATTTTATTTTTTTGAAGTAGACCAAATCAATATCATTCCTTGAAATTTTCACGGAATTTTCTCCGCACAAGGAGGAAAAATCACAGAAATTTTCAAGACTGGATGTTAAGTAGTTTTTCATTTAAAAAATAAAGTATGACAGGAAGTCTGCGACGTCGCAAACCGAGATACGTGGTTTGGTAGTTTCACCGTCGATATATTCAATGGCTTTAAATGGGGTATTTAGTGTTGCCGACTTGCCGTCAAATCGAAGCGCCTATCGAAGGCGCTCTGAGCAACTATTCCGCCACAGAAGTATTGCACAGTATCAGACGGAAATGAAGGCGCACTAGCGTTCGTAAATTGACTGGGTGTCGTTCACCAATACTGTGTAGGTAGAGTCCTACTGATCCTACGATATGCGGTTCCTGCTCAACTGCATTATATGAAACTTGGTAGCAGGTTGCACATAATGGACATGCACCTTTGATGAGAAGCTTAAATTTCAACTGAAATTTTCGAAAGTTCAAGATTGTGCATTAAATTTTACAGGGTTTGTTGCGATCGAATGCATTACACGATGAAGCACTGATAAATCCATGCCAACGTCTGAACGCAACTATATGCAGGCTTCAAGCACGTCCATATGGCATGCATCAAAAAGTGAATGCGTTAGCTTTTGCATTGCAGTACTTTTAAATTCAACTGTACCTTAATACTTTAAAGATTTCTGTATCGCGTATTCATTGTTCCCACTCAATTTATGCCGCTGAAGCCGAAAATGATCTTCGATTTCTTTCAAAATCTATAAAATTTTTGAAGAATCGATTTTAAAAAAAAAAAATGCGTTTTTTTCAGCTCAGAGAGACCACCTCTTTTGAAACCTTGATTCTTCGAAGGTTTTGGAGGGAAAAAACATAGTTTTCAATAAATAAAAAAAATTCATAAAAATTGAGTGGGAATTATTCTATTCGCTACCCGAAAAGAAATGCATCTCCCCTTTTCCAACGCAAAACAATCGGATGAGCTTTACTCACATACAAGGTGGAGTTTGAGCGAAAGGGAGCACCTGACCGGAAAGGACATCTTTGAGAGCATGCAACATTTGGTTTCCTCAATATTTTTGGCTGCTGAATCCAAAAATGACTTTAGTTTTCTACATCGTGCACGGATTTTCTTGAAAATTGACTTTTGGAAAAGCTCAAGAGTGATCGATTCAACTGGAGGTATCGCGGAACGCGCGCGGAGTTTACGGTGCCTTCAACATCGTAGATATACTTCAATCGTTACATCATTACCGATAAGTTCTAACGACGGACGTGTCAAAGTTTTCCGTATATATTATTTGTCCCCTGCCAAATACACAGCGTGATTGAAGGTGTAAACGGCAAGCCCTCATTTACCTTATCGCGGACTCAGGCATGTCCTACTGACCTGTCTATATGTCAGGTATAACTAAAGTTTTCTATTTGACAATTTCAGTAGACAAATTACAATTTTTCTTACAGGCAGGGCAATTGCTTTGCAAGCATTGCAGCTTGCTTTTTTTGTCTCACAGAATTGGCTCCGCTATCTTGAGCTTCATGGAGTTCTTGGGACCCACACGGAGAAAAAAACTTTGTGCGTGGGACCCGAAGTTTAGGTCATATGGATCTCTGAAGTTTTCGGATTGAGCATCTGAACACTTTAGGTCCAGCTGCTGAGGTTTGGATCACACATCTGAAGTACTTCGGTTTTCACATCCGAACAACTTCGGTTCTCACATCAGATGCAGGAACTGGAGTTTCAGATGTGTGATCAAAACCTCGACAGCTAGACCTAAAGTGCTCAGATGCTCAATCCGAAAACTTCAAAGATCCATATGACCTAAACTTCGGGTCCCACACACGAGGTTTTTCCTCCGTGCAAAAATGGCGGACGCTGTAAGTAAATATAAATGAAAAATGACTCAAAATGTAGTTTCATTTGTATTTTGCAATGAGAACTTTACTTAAATGCATTATTACGACGTATTTACATAGTTTGGTTAGCCGGGCACTATTTTCGAGAAAAATCATTTGATAGAGAAAAGTTAGCAGCAAGTGCGGTTGGTGATCACTATCATAAGTTGGAAATGACCCTCCTCCCATCTCAAATACCACACTGAGAAAAAAAGTTCGGTAAATCCGAACTAGTTTGGTTCATATGGAACCAAGATTTTGTTCGGTACACACGACCGAATTATTTGGTCTGCTCAGCCGAACTTTTCGGTCCACTGAACCGAACTGTAATTGTTCGGTTGCACAAACCGAACAATTCGGTTGAACAGACCAAATAATTCGGTTGTGTGTACCGAACAAAATCGTGGTTCCATATGATCCAAACTAGTTCGGATTTACCGAACTTTTTTTCTCATTGCAACCTAACCTAACTCAATCTAACAAAGCGCCGCCATTTTTGGGTTCTAAAGGCCTCCATGACAAGTGGAGGGGCAAGATACCCAAGCTCTCTCTCTATAAAGGTGCTCCAAAGTCTTCGGCCCATTCCTTACCCTCACTATTTACATTATTAAAGATAAAAACCCACGGAATTGAAAAGAAGGGGAGGGAAGATCACTTCTAAGCTAAGGAAACCACTGACTATACTCCAGGTACGAAGAATCGCAGAATTTTGCATGGTGTGGAAAAGGTGACCTATGGGCATAGGGCCGGATTTACCTATGGTGCATCGGTGCAGCTGCACAGGCGCAGTGGCGTAACGGGCGCCCCCGCAGACCCTGCTATGCGCAGGGGGGCCCAAGCGCCTAGGGGGCCCTCGCGGCCCTCGGCCGCCGGAATTTTTTTTTCTCTCTCTCTCTTTGATGCTTAGCTTTGGTTTCAAACTGTGGGCCTTTACTTACCGAGACGGCCCTTCTTCTGCTGATTTTTATTGTTAGCTCAGGGTTTTTCATACTTCTTTTGGACTGTTTCTAACTTTTTTTTTGCGGGAGGGCCCCTGCCTTCCAATGTCCACTCAGTGATTACTAAACATTTTCTCGATTCTTGGGTCTGTATGGGCCCTTCTGTAGATCCTCAGGCCTGGGCTGGGCCCCCGCCACCCTTTAGATCCTTGATCCTTTAGGGGCCCCATTTAATCGGGTACGGGATCCGGGACGGTGAGGTGAGAGGCATTCCAAGTCCAAGTCCGTGATTTGAAATGTCTCGGGCCAAAAAACGGGAAGGGGTGAGGGAAGTAGAGGGGCAGAAGGGGGGATGATTTTGGA